TCACGTGTTTTCGTAGCGTTCCTTCTTTTCCCAGTTTTTCAATGGGGTGTAATGGAAAAGTTTGTTTCGGGCACATCGCAGTGAAATTATGATATTTCTCCATAGATGCACTCTGTTAGTCGTGTCATAGTGATTTCACGTGTTTTCGTAGCGTCTCTTCTATTCTGTCTTTCAATGAGGTGTAATGGGAAAGTTTGTTTCGGGCAGATCGCAATGAAATTTTAACTTTTCCCTTAGCACACTGACAGTCGTGTCATAGCGATTTCACGTGTTTTCTTAGCATTCCTTCTTTTCCTAGTTTTTCAATGGGGTGTAATGGCAAAGGTGGTTGCTGGGAAATAATAGTGAAATTGTGATATTTCTCCATAGATCCATTCTGTTAGTGTCTTGGATAGGTTTAGAATAGATGGAATTTGATTGAATTTAACGATCCTAAGTAGCTTATTAGGAGTCCTTAACACGTTGGCGGAAAAGGCAGCCATAGCCGTAATTCTTGTAGACCTGTGGGACAAAACAGCAATCGTCATCCATGTTTCTACATCAGTAGGAACATGCATTGGACGTAACTGAATTGACATCCTCACCTGTTTCTTCACATGCCCTACGGCCCTGTTACATTCCCCTTCCTGCTGGGAACGAATTCCATGATAGGAGATCCATGCTTGGCTCTGCCTCAAATGGGGCTCAGGAATACCGAAGATTTTATTTTCCCTGGGCCGGGCCCCACCGCTGTTTTTTTTTGACATAATTAAAAAAAAATAGCATTCTACTTTGTGTAACTACCCCGGCAGCACACAACGGTGGGCCCACATTGGCTTTGAGTGGGGGAATATGGGCCAAAATTGCAGTGGGCTTGCCGATATTGGCCCCCACATTGGCTGCGAGTGGGGAAAAGTGGCCTTACATCGCAGTGGGCTGCCCGTGTTGGCCCCACATTGGCGCTAGGGCGGCAGCCAACATTTGTCATGACTCAGGATGCGACATCTGTCTCATTTATTTGAACTCCACTCCTAATATACTCCACTCCTAATAAAGGTTTAAAGCTGGCATTAGGCTAATATCAGTTTCATGCAATCCACCCCATATCATTCACGATACTTGAAACTAAACAGCTGGAATACTTCCATGGTTATGATGAAAAGGATGCAAGGTGATTCCGCTTCGCCTGCTATCAAAATGCTGCTTCTTCTTCGTCAGTTCCATTGTGATCTGCTTCAGGAAAAGGGTCACGCAAGCTTAACGTCTTGAATTAATATGCCTTTGGAAACTTAGAAGAGTCAGGTTTTGACATCTAAGGCATTTAATATCTGTACTTTTTGCGCCTTTTCCAAAATTTGGCCTTTCTTTGGTGCTAAGTATGCGAAAAATAAAGACGATCCAGCAACACTCTTTGTATCCACATCCCTAGAGTTCTCTCCCAAAGTTCCGAGTTCCCTTACCTCGCTCAATATTTCCGAGTGGGATATTGCTTTAGCTATATATGGGTTGCAAAAGAGGATTTTGAGACTTTAAACTTTTTTCCCCCTCTTGGAGCACTGGTAACCTAGTGGTAACACACCGGTAAAATACCAGTAATTACTGGTAAATTACGTGTAAAATACCAGTAAGTAATGCCATCTCGCTTACCGGTAATTTTAAATCCCTAGTTTTTCTTGCACAGAATTTTCATCTTGTTCCTCTGTACAGGGTGTCCCAAAAGTCCCTATCTATTTTGTTGAACTAGGCTGAATTTCAAACAAATGGCTCAATGACTTGAATACACATGTATTTCCATACCAAGTATTATCACGTATTACAGATCGAAATAAAAATACACTGCAGTTATCTTTAATCAGTAGTTTCCACGTGCGCTCCCTCAGTATCTCTGCAAATCTCAAATCTCTGCTGCATTGCGGAACACATTTGCGAGCATTTCGGGGTTTATTTTCTGAGCCTAATGCGATCTCGCAGATCTGGTAAATCACGAGTTTTCCTGTGATAAACTTCTGATTCTATGAAACCCCAGGCAAAGTAATCCAATGGAGTCAAATCCGGAGGTCGCGGTGCCCAAGGCCTGTTTCCCCCACGTCCAATCCAACGATTTGGAAAACGCCTGTTGAGGTGTCTGAACAATTCTGGCATAATGACATGGTGCCCATCCTGCTGAAAGACTACAGTGTCGAGAATACCATCTGCAAAAAGTGTCGAACGCAAGATTCTGCGAATAGCTGTCTTGGGTATGGTCAATCTGTGGGATGCGTTCCGAACCAACATTTTCCGATCCTCTTAGAGCATTATGGAACAGCTTCGGTATTTTGTTGTGCTGTTGTTGGGCGCCCAGATCTTTCTTCGTCATACACAGATCCAGTCCTTTTGAATTTGTTCACCATTTCACGAATTTCTTTGTCTGTATGTCCAGGCTTAAGACATTTTCTTGTGAATTTGTATCTAATCTCACATTTCATTCCTCTGATGCGACAAGTTACTACCATAACACGTTCCTGCACTTTCATCATCAATGATATAGATCTGAAATAAAAGAAACTGGGAAATTAAAATAGTTCAGACTGTAACCCAATGTTTGAATATTGCATAGAAATAAACGTGTAATCGTATCATTGAGCCATTTATTTAAAATTCAGCCTATTTCAAGAAAATAGATAGGGACTTTTGGGACACCCTGTACTGTATATTGTTGCAGTTGCACCTTTTTATGAACGAAGGAAAATATTTCACCCGCCCTGATATATTGGTGGTAGAGTTGTGAGTGGTGGTAACATCAACGTAACGTTACCGGTTCACCGGTAATTACTGCAGTGTTGCTGACTGGTAATATTACCGGTAATGTACCAGCGAATCTCTTTTTCATGGTTTTCAGCCTTTTTTTTGCTGGAAAAATGCGTACTATACTGCTGTATTTTTTTTTGCCAGAAAGAATTATCCAAGGCCAGAGTGAATGGCGATGACACAGTCACAAAGGTATCAAGGCCTTTGCAGCATTTCTGCGTGTCTTTCATGTCATACTTACAAACTACTTAGAAATTTGTACAGAGATTTTCTAACTTGAGACCAATACGCATTGATGGTGTTTATCCTGTTCATATCCGCAGGAAATATATTGGCGTCTGACCCCGAAGGCATTGTCGCGCTTTCGTATCATTTCGTTTTTTTTTTTTAAGTTGATGGTTGGACACGTACGTTATTTACCAGCGTCACTTTAGTATTTCATTAAATCACTCACGGTCTAGGACGAATGAAAATATCAAAAGTAACGACCAATTATTTTTTTCTTGCCACCTGTTTACATGCGGTATCAATCACAGGTTCATTCCAATATTTATCTCTCTCTTTATGGGAACACCTACCCTCTAATGAATTTAGTCGTGGATGGAAACTTGGGAAATAATTAAACATTACTTTTCAATCCAACCTTTTGAAAAGAAAATACTTAAATGTATTTGAAAAGAACGAGGCTGTTTCGACTAAGACTATATTCACGAAATAGACGATTTTGGTTGGCTTGCTCGTCTCTGGTAAGCTCCTCTTTTCTCGGCAGTTTCGTATATTGTACGAAGATACGTGCGAATCAGAGCGAAACATAATCGCGTCCTTCCCAACCAGTACTATTTTTTTCCCCGTTCATTCAAATTTTTTTCTAACCATGTGGAAGTGCGCCTCATTAGTGGCGGAAATGTTCCAGATTTGGCTTGTTTTGGCGCTTAGAATGCCAAAAACAAAGAAGTTCCTCTTGCTCTCTCGGTATCCTACCCCAGCAGCCCAATACATTGGGCCCACGTTGGCTGTGAGTGGGGAAAAGTGGGCTGCCCGTGTTGGCCCCACATTGGCGCTAGGGCGGCAGCCAACATTTGTCATGATTCAGGATGCGACATCTATCTCATTTATTTGAACAAAAAGTACAGCATATGCGAGATGGCGACTATGCGGCCGCTACTTCAGTGGGATCAGGGAGTGATTCATTAATTTAAGACCCCAATATCTTTCTTTCGGTACTTGATCCATTTCCATCCTCTTCTTAAGTGAACCCCATTTCCATAATGTAAAATAAGACACTCGAATTTCTCAGTTCATTTGTTTAAACACGTTAAGCAGTCCAAACAAACTCTTGTTACTCGTAGTAGAAGAATGATTCAAATTGGGGCTTCACTTGAGGGAGGATAAAACGAATTCTATTTTCTTTGATTGGAGAGGCTGCGTCTTGTTTCCCTCGGGGAGGTTCGGGTGTGATTAAAAACATGATCATCCGGGACTTGCCGGACAAGCCTAATGGGGCTCAAATCCTGTTATGGAAAGTGAAGGCCTCAAAACATGACAATCGAAGGAAGTACTACTCCCTGGAGAACTTCCAGCCAGACCGAGAGAGACTCGGTCGCAAGATCCCTGGTAGGGGTGCTGAACAATTACGTACGGAAATTCAATCTCGATCGAAACCTCCTTTAATCCCTGGAATGTCATGGCGCACGTCGGCATTTGACGTTGGGCCAACGTCAAATGCCGACGAAAACAATTTCCAAGAAAGAGGAACTCTTTTTCATTTTGTGTTATTGTTTTTTTGGTAGACCTCAAAATAACCTGTCACCAACCCGCCGGAGCAAAAGCGTCAATCCTAAGTGTTGTGGTCGCATCTATGCGTCCAGCCATTTTGTATCTCCCAGTTCTATGGTTGTGCATATGCATCTTGAAATTTCTTCCAAGAGTGAGGTAATGTTATTGAAAAGCAGCTCAGTAAACTCAGTAAGAGGTTTTTTCCCATCAATTTCTACAAGCTTCATTTTCCAAAAAAGTATTCGACACTGGGTGCAGTTTCGTGGCAGAGCATTCAGCATTTAAAGGGTTAATAATGTGATTGAATTTAAGAAAATTGGGATATTAAGAAATTTCAGTGACAGAATTTTGGTGCTGTCCCTCTTTTTCCTCACACAAATTCATTAGTACAGTATATATATTTGTAAGTGAGATACCAGAGCATCCACCTCTTTCTTTCCAAAATAAGTATTTATTTCCTGCAAACTGCAATTTGTAGTCATTGTAGTAATGATCATCATAGACTTTTCACAAAAGAGCTACACATCTAGAAGATATCTTCATCATAGGAGATGAGGCCACGCTTGTCTTTATGAGATCCTTTCTGTGAATGGCTTGCTGCAATGGTGGACCAAGTGGCAGATGAGGATGCATCATTGATGGGCTCTATGATGGGCTGCCTTCTTGCAAGAGACACTTTCAATTGGACTCCAGAAACCATGCTTCCATTCATGCTGCTTATGGCACGGTCTGTACACTCAGTCTTGTCAAATGTAATAAATCCACAGTTCTTCTCAATCTCCATTGAGATATTGATAATGTTGCCAAATGGTTGGAAGGCCCTTTTGAGCAATTCCTCAGTGATGTTGTAACCAAAGACATAAATTGTATTCCCAGATCTTCTCTCTCGTTTTGCATATTCTCCTGCATCCACAAGACCTCTTTCTTCCCTATCTCTTGCTGCCACAAATGTGTCATACAAGTTCTGAGGGGAGAAAGGCAAAAAAACTGCAACTGTGATGGGTAAAAGTTTTCAAGAAACTGTAAATATTAAAGTCAGCATACATACTTTGACTTTAGGCTTGGGCTCCCTGGGCTCCCTGGGCTTGTCATGCAAGGGAGATGGCTTCTCTGGAGGAGGACTTAGGGCTGATGGAGTGTGCAAAGGTGTCAAAGCCCTCTCACTGCCAGACAATCTACGCTCAAGTCCACGTGACCGCTTGAAAGTTGTCTTCTCTCCTTTGTTTTCTGCAGAAGGCACAATACAGGCACAAATAGCAAACTTAAGTTTGTTTCATACAAAATAATGCCCTGTTTAAGCACTAACCAGGCTTCTTAATGGCATGAATAGCACCAGACTTCAGGAGCTTCTTGGCAATTTCCTTTGCTTCTTTGGCCTCAGTTGGTCTCTTGAGGGTTGCTGTTTTCTCAGGCTCTGGTTTGGGTGCCTTCAAGGTTTGCAATGCTTTCTTCTGTACAATAATTGCAGAAATAAGAAATGAGAAAAGCTGCATTGAATCTTTAAATAAAATGAACAAGAAAATGCAGAATGAAAGTCCAGCATACAAAAAGGACAATGGGCCTTAAACCATTCCCACTTACCTTTCTCTTGAGCTTTTGATACTTAGCTTGCAACATTTGCTCCTCCTCAGTGAATTGGGATGGAAAGTGGAGATACACCATGGCTTTTTGAGAGGATGATCAACTGAACACGAAATTGTTACAATTGTATCTAGAATAATTGATCTGGTTATGTATCATCTACATTCCACTTATTGGATGAGTCAGCATGAAAGAAAAACTGTCACATATGCAACATAAGAAACACATACATCAACAGCATGTTAAAAATGCTCAAGATGAGATGATCTCTAAGAGTGATATTTCTGAATATATGAGGGGCACTTCATCAGCATTTCCAATTGTTCCTAAACTGCCCAATACTATTGTTTTTTCTCATAGGTAGCACACTTTACTCATAGTGCGTTTGTGAGAAGTCTGACCATCACTTATGCAATTATCTTATGAGACACATCACAGTACATAAGACTCAACCCATTCTTTGAACCAGACTTTGAAATATTCCCAACCTTGTACTTTGTGTCAGCTCTTGCTTGAAAGGTGACAAGGAAATCTAATATCATGCCTTCCACAGTAATATTTTTCATTAGTAAATGAAACTAGCCAAGCTTCTTCCTCTTCACCCATCCAGACTGAGATGTCCAGAGCTGAAGGTCATACTCAGTCAGTGAATAAGAGTTTCCAAAAAGAAAGTTCTAGGTGGCATATCTTCTGAGAAATCTCTTGGCAAAAGCAAAACAGAATGAAGGTCCTTAAGTCTCTGTCATTGTCAGTCAGATAAAAGTAAAACCAGTTGAACCTGATCTACTCTGATGGGTCTAAAATAAAAGTCTAATTTGAGGACAACACTTGACACATAATACATACAAAATCTATAATGAAAGAAATAATTGCAAAAGCTTTTGGAATGTTCCTCATTGAGGATCAACACAGAGGAACAGAGGTACTCGATTGTGATATCCCCAATGGATTTCACTAATTCCTTATTGTTAAATTACACTTCCAGGGGGAAATACTGGGGTGAGAAATGTTCATGCAACTCCAATTCCCTTTTCCTCCCCCAAAGAATGGAAAGAGATGAGAAATACAATAAAAACATATCGTGATCTGCTCTACAAGCAATTAGCTACCTCCTCCAGAAACTTCAGAGAATCCACAACATGGGTAATATAAATGTGAGCTTAGAATGACGAGCTCTTCTCAGCTCATGGAAGGAAACAAGACAGCTTCCTCCACTTCACAGATAATAGCTAACATTAGTATAATTATTTATTTTCTAACTTTAGCCACCTTTGCAAAAAAAAAGAGGCTAAATGTGTAATCAATGTGAAATTTTGTCTAGTTTTAGTTATATGCATTAATTGGCTATTTTATTTTAGTTCAAATGAAAATTAATCACTTCTTCCACTTTACACATAATCATGATTCAAGATCTCCAACACTTACAGAGTGACATAAATGCCATAGGGTGATCTCACACTTGCAGGAGACAAAATAACATGAAATAACACAAAAAAAGCACATCATTCTTCCAAAAATGAATTATCTATCAATTTCCCCAACTTAGTCTCAGAGAAAATTTCAAAGTAAAATCAGACACCAAGGGGTGTTTATCAGCAATAATTGCATTTGTTTCCAGTGAGTACAAAGGCATTTCCTAGCTTTCCTTTTATTGATACCTTTCAAATTTGGAGGCAGGATTATGATTTTATGATCTTGAATTCAGTTCCAAACACCTCTATATGGCAAAGTGAAATAGGGGTGGTGGTCTTAAAATCATCCTGAAATTATTGGTTCCAGGGATTGGAGTTTGGTACGAAAGCAAGGAGTCAATAAATTTATCATTTGTTACTAAGTTTCATGTTTACAACTATCTTTTTTTTTTATCTGCTTGAGGATAAGTGAGTCATTGTGAATCACTGTAAGCCTAGTTTTTGAGGATTATCTGTATAGCACCTTAGCAGCTAAGGGCAGTTTACATATATTTCCTACATTCAAAGAAACTAAGCCAGGTGTGTCCCACATGGAGGTCATATGGTATTGTTGGTTAGATTAGACTACTGTATACTTCTGGTTTGTGAATGGTCTATTGACTGCTGTCCAAGGCTTCATTCTGAGATCAATTTTTTTCTTAAGCCTTGCACAGGCTTCCATAATGTGAGCACCAACTTTCACACATAACTTATGAAATAAAAAACAATGAAAATTTTCAATTTTTTTCAACATTAACATTACATAGTAATTTGGAAGGACCTATGATACCAGTCCTCAAAGGCAACATCACATCATCATGCTTCATTGTACTTTCATTCAAGAGACAGAAGGGAACTTATGTGCATTGAATTTTTCCTGTGGAACAATTTTCACATAGTTATCCTTATGAAACTTGAGAACTTTTCACTGCTGAAGAAGGAGGAGAGCAGAAATTGAGTTTCATTAAGTCCTATAGAGAAATTTTAGATAGTAAGTAGTAGCCATCTGTTACATGGCTTTCAAAACCATGCCTGTCTTCTTTAGTGGTCCTCAAGAATAGCTCCTGCCCTCTCCAGATATAATGCCTTTACATTATTTTATTTGGGGTGAAGAGCTGGTTCACTGCCTGAAGCAACAGTCTACAGAAGTGGAAGCAAACTATCCAGAATGAATATAAGTGATTTTTAGAAAGCACTACTCCAGAATTTCATTCAAAGCATCATCAGAAGAACATAGGATGTCTAAAGTCAAAGGCAAGAAGAGAGATTATCTATCATCATGTGCCTCTCATAATTTCTCTCTTTTCCATAAGTTATTGTTCTGTGCAATAAACAACAGAGGGTCAATTTCATCCCATCTGATATTTCTGTTACTGAAATTAACCTGTGTTAATTCATAAATTTCCTATACTGATTTCATCATAATATGAACACTTAGTCATATTTTGTTCTAAAAAAAAAAGGCCATAAAAAGTAGGAAAGGCATATGGCAAGCAATTTCATTAAAAGTTGTGCATTTTGGTGCTGACATTTATGCTTATGTAACCTCTAAAAAAAATTCAGTTTGGGATCAAAGAAGGCCAACACATCACCATGAAGGAACAAACTTGACTCAGAAAACCTGAATATTGCATGTATAAGCTCATTTCTATTGAAAAGATAGCTGAGGTTTTCTAAAAGGATTCATCAATGAGGGATCTCTGCTATGTGGTAATATGTGTCAACCACTCATATTTACCATAATTCAACTACAGACAAAATAAAACAATGCCATGGAGATTGGATTCTCATTGATATTAAATATTCATCACTCCAAAGAATCAAGAAAATTCTTTCACAAGCTGTGCATCATATTTATAGGGTCATCATTCCATGATCCTCAGCTGTGCTCTGTTTGAAATGTCTTCAATAATATGTCAAATATCCCCTGGAAAAGAAAGAAAAATCAATCACCAATCAGCAAAAGAATTTAGTAAGCTTAGTCTTGCTGTAAAAGGTGATATTACTCACGGCATTTTTATCCGCAAGAAAACCCAGCAGGCAATGAAGGACACAAGCACCAGGAAAAAGCCAAGAAAGACAAGAAGAATGCGGTTGAGCTTAGGTGTAGAAGGGGCATGGGTCTTGTCAAGGATGATGAAGCCCAGTCCTCCCAAGGTGAACATGAAACTGGATGCCAGCCCCTCCATGATGTATTGTCCATTTATTCTGTATGGCATGAAAGCCACCTGAAGAAAAGAGTATAGGTAAAAAAATTCTAAATGGTGGATTCAATAGGTCCACATATAAATTTGACATACAACACATACCAGTATGTATATACAGAGTTTTCCAATTGTCCCCCCCCCCTCCCCCAACCTGGGTGCTGTCGTCAAGAATACTCAAAAGGAAAATAAAAAAGCACTGCTACTACTGATAACATTAGGCACTCGTGTACATCAGACTTTTTTTTTATAGTTGATGGAGACTTAAGCATCCCCATGATCTAGATTAACTCAGGAGAATAAAGTAATTTAGGATTCTGGGGAGACAAAGCTAATTCCTTTGTTCTTCACCATAGGAGACAACAAGGCAAAGGCCATCTAAAATATGCTTAAAAACCTCTTCTTAAAACATTTTCTTGCCAGACATGGTGAATGCATCTTTAAGGAAACTTTATGTATACTTATAATTGATGCTCAAATGATACTGCCCACATATTATTACTTTATGATGTTTGCCATTTCCAATCTGCAACAGATTTCCACCCATTTCCATCTTTAATTCATTCAGTGAGTGTGCATTTTGCACATGAATACACTTCATTGTTTCTTTTCCTCCTTTTCATGGTCTTTTGCAGGATCTTTGCTACATTGATTCATTCAGTTTAGTTCAAAGTCAAAATCACTAGGTCTCCAGCAGGGTTAATATGTTACATTCATTTATAGACCTATAAGCTACCATGTACAGACCTATGAGCTGCCCTGTAACTTATAACATTTAGAGCAGGGGTGTCAAACATATGGCCTGGGGGCCGGATCCAGCCTGCTATCTGTTCCTGAATTTTCTGCTTGGGTTGACTGTCAGCACAAATGTCAGTGAAAAAAGTATGGGTGTGGCCTGCAGGCATCTGCAGGGTAAGGAATGCAGCCTGACAACCGATTTGAGTTTGACACCCCTGATTTAGTGTCATAAATGATTCAATAGACAAACAGAGAACTGGACTTAGTCCATTCACCAAACGTGAAGTTCAGCTACCATACATTAACTGACAAGGCCTCACCTGGACTTCTAATATTAGTACTTACTGGTTTGGAGTGACCAAATTCATCTGTGATTGATCCAATGCTGGGTGGTTCCACAATGACATCATATATGACACCTAAAAAAAGAAAGCATTTATGACAGACAGTGAACTCTATAGTTTACATTGGCTACATGAAAATTAACATCAGCTCTCACCTGCTGTAACAAGGAAGTATGCCAGAAGTACCAAGGCAAAAACTGTCATTGCACTGGGTGCCTTTACCCATAGAGGTCTTTTCAACTTCAAGTTAGGCACTTTCAAGACGGAGAAAGGGAGGCGATACAGTGATTCCAGCATTATCACTGGATGAATTATGCACCTAAACTAAGATCAGCACACAAGAGGATGTGGATTATTCAAGAAAGACAATGCAGAGCTAAACCTGCAAAATTCAGTGCAATTCCTATGAAGTCTTGTTTTAAAGTGTTACTCCTGATGCTGCAGGGGTCAGAAATATCTTGCACTTGGCAATTATGCCTCAAAACTATGAAGTATCTCTTGAAGGTTATAATTCTTTCCTGCAATCTCATCAACTATAAGTACCTTGTCAGGCTTCCTTCACCACCACTCTTAAATTAGATTGCTTTATCATGCTGTTGGCCTAAATTTTTTTTGTGGAAATTTACTAAAATAAATTAGTAATATAAGTGATAGACCTAGGATTTCTGACCTCCATTCAGTTACCTTGGGGGCAGAGGGTTTGAATACCCCCCTCATATTTCTATCATGTAAATCAGGGGTGTACATTATATGGCCCATGGGCTGCATGTGACCCATGAGGCCATTGCCCATGGCCTGCCATGATTGGTAGCATTGTAAATGGTTCCTGCTCTGTTAGTCACAGCAATGGTCAGCCAGACTGCACCCCATGGTAGGTGAGTAAAAATCACTAATGGCCCTCTCAGCCTTTTGAGTTGTGCACCCATGATGTAACTGAATGAAGGCAAAATATTTTCAAGGGGAAACTGGCAGAATGACAATAAATTTTTGAGTCTCATGCGATTTCAGTTAGACTAGACTTGTGAGGTTGTCATTCTCAACTGGATACTCTGTGGCAGTGGTTCCCAAACTTTTATATGCAAGGGCCTCATGGACACTTTGGTCCACCTAAGTGGGCTAAGTGGGCTGCACTATTAATGTTAGTCAACCTGGAGTGGGCCGCAATGAAAAAGATCTAACATTTCTGCATAGTCAACCCTTTATCTAGACATTTATCTTGTGGTTAAGCTACTCTAAACTGGAAAGTTCCATTTTAAAAATGAGCAGCAATCGAAAACTACCTATTCCTACTGCATCCATGCACACTTCCATCTCTCATAGCCACAAAAACTGCCAATACTTGGAGTCAGGGCTCATATAAACGCATCGGTTCTAGGTGCTGCTTTTTTACAAGTTGTATTTTTGATAAATACTCCTTTCTTTTGCCTTAATTAGCAGGGAAAGACATTTTTCTCTGCAGTATATGGATGCTCCAAATGTTAGGCATTTAGCAGGTGCACACTTGCATACATGAACATCTAAATGTAAACATGTATTATATGTACCTAAATATCGAAACAATGACTAAACTTGCTAATTTTCAGTGAAGGATTCAAAACCAGGAAATAAAAAAATTGTTAGTAGTGATTATTCATGAATGCCAATAAAACAGTCAAGTGAGAAAAAGTCTATTATTAGTAAGTCTTAGTGGGCCACATGCAACCATGAAGTGGGCTGCATGTGGCCCACTGGCCACACTTTGAATACCACTGCTCTATGGTGATATTAACAGAATTAGGATTTCTGGGTGCATAATGAATGACTCAAGATAAATCTGAAGATACTAATATGATGATGAAACCTTGCTTGCTTCACTCAATAGACAATAGTCCTGATGAGAGCAATTATGCTTCAAGACTTCATCACACTGTAAAAACAATGAGAACCTTAAAGAAATAAAGCAATGCACTATCTGCTTGCTGCCTATACGAAGGTAATTGAAACTGTACATTCAACTTGTTGCTTATGGCTTGTTTGATTTTGATTTAATTTGGCTCTCTGCACTTAGTTCCAATGAGTCTTGGAAAAATCTCTGTAAACCCAAGAGAGAACCCATTAAAGACAGTGTTCCATTCTAATGGATTTTTAGTTTTCTGCCCCAGTGCACCAATGATCAGGATTTACATTAGATAAGGCTCAAGGTATTGGGGCCTTGCTAATTCGGAGTGTTGGTAAGGATGAAAAACTAGTCTATAAAAATAATTATCCTACAAGTCTGTGGTGTGAATGGTAGTCCTATACTCTTCACAAAAGTTTCCAGGATAAAAGCTGCAAATATAGTATCTGGAGCCTGAAGACCATTATATTTAAAGTCTCCAACTAATTGTGATCGACTTAACCCATTCACATCCAAGGACAAACTAGTACGTTACTTATCGATTTCACCAATGACGTTTTAATACACCATTGGGAAAGGATGGGTCTTTGTCGTTATTTTTCTGTAATTAGGGGGGAAATTACCTTTAATGACACACCCGTTTCCGACGGTGTACAAGTACGTCTTTGGTGAAACCGACCAATTAAATATGACGTTCTAGTACGTCATTGGGATGCGAATGGGTTAAAAAGTAATCCCAACTGTTTATAGTTTTGATCTTATAATACTTTCTTCTCAAAGTTCATCCAGTCTAGCAGTATATGAATATTTTCAGGAACCCGGCACCTACCACTGAGTAGGGATGGTGCAGTTTATCCGGAATAGGCCTTCTTTTGTAAGACCATGCTTTTGAGCGAAAAGCATTCAACTTCATGAAATAAAACATACATTTTGGCGAGCTACAGAAAATGCCAAGTCCCTTGGGTGAGGGTAAGGAAGCATTGCGTGGAAAGAGACAGCCACGCGCACAAACCTACGGCGGCGAATGCGTGTGCATGCCGCCATATGTTATCATCATGGCAGCGTCGTGTAGTTCTTGTTTATCAATACCGAAGTCAGAGTAAAAAAATTGAAAATAATCTGATTACTTGTTCCTTTTGTCTCCGTTTGTTTGCTGTCCTTCCACTCTTTCCCTTACCTCATGTTTTCATATCTCTTTCGTCTCTTATTTCTTTTGTTCCTATTTATTGGTGTGTATCCATGTTTCCCACTCAATATGTTTTTTTTTCTCTTTTTTTATTCCTTTCCAATTTTTTTTCATGTATTATTTTGATTTTCCCTTTTTTTTTCTCTTCCGTTTAAACTGAAGTCTCATATTTAGAGAGGTTCATCTCGCTTTCATCAAGCTGTAGACTATTTGTGTCATAGTTTCATGTTATCCCTGTGAATTATTTGTCATCGGTGAATAATAGTAAAATAAATTTAAAAAAATGCTATTAAAGATGGTAAGAATTCATTTGCGTATAACTGTGCCAGTGGTGCATGCAGAGAGGGAGGGGGTAGCCTTGAGCCCCTCCTTGGTCTATAGTATCCCCTCCTGGACTGGTTTTTAGAGCTGGGCAAATAGGCAACCACCATTGTTATGACACTGACTTCTCCCCGAACAGATACAGTAGAACTGCTGACCTACCTTAAAGAATTTAAAAAGCAGTTACCCTTGCGTGTGTGATTAGTACTAGCTAAAAACTATCAGTAAGTTTTTGAGGCATGCTTTCAGAGGGAGACATGAGGCAGTTGAGATTGTGCAGATTCATTGTTTGGATTTCTTTGAACATTTGGTTTCTTCTTTAATGACCATGACCTGTTAAATAAATAATTAATGTTAACATTGAGTTGTTGTTTTGGTTTGCAGTTTTGCGGTTATAGTGCATCACAATTAAGATTGATTGACTGACTCTAACTTTCTTGTTTTTGAGCCCCCCTTGGCCCTTGGCAGATAGCAGTGTCCAGATTGCTTATTTATTGTTATCTTTGATACTGAAGCTTTGGAAAGTTATTGCATTTGGAGTGCAGTCAAATTTTTTTTTTTACTTGTCAGATATCTTCCTCAGACCTATAAGAATCTCATTCATGAGCAGAAAAATGCAAGGGTCACACAATATTGGACAGAGATATTCTTAAAAGCAAACCAACTTTTATTTTTTTTAAACACAGTGTACAAAACCAAGCTCTCATTGAGGGTAAAAAGCAGAATTTGCTACTGCAACCATGGTACTATGCAAGAGGAGCAAAATAAATATTACACTGAGGCAGAAGCAAGGAATGTGTACAGCTGTCATTCAGTGTGGCAATGAAGGATCCTGAGCATGTTCTTGTTTCCTATCATGGCTAGATCACTGCCCCTGATGCAATGAAAGTGTAGTACATATCTGACTTACTAAAGTACTGATTTGGCTCAATTCCTCATATCAATAGTTGTTTCTCCTGAGTTAAATAACATATCACATTGATTTTAGTTCATTCTGAGACCCATGGATGAGAAGATCCAATCTACTTGATTGTCTAAGTCATTTGGAAAAGTATTCTACTGAAATGGAAGAAAATTATAGCCTAAGCCATCAGTAGGATTTTGCCTAGGTTGCCACGCAGGGATTTTGGAGTGGCTGAAACTGACTAAGTATGATAGAAAAGGCAAAATGGCAAACATTTCTCCCTTGGTCCAAGGTCAATCAGTAGGTCATCCTCATATTTACCAGCAAAGAATTTGGAAAGACTTTGTAGGCTAAACTATGGGACAGACTTTGTAGATTATATTCTGGTAAAGTTGAGAAGTGGAAGACCTCATGTAGGGGCAGTCTTGGCCTACTGGTATAGTCAACCTGAATTTCTGGTATGTTGTAATATTATTGTCAAGAGAACACTGCCTAAGATTCAACTTGATCCAAATTTTAGTCCCTTTATGAACATACCAGGAATGGGTTGCCTTAGGATCGGTCAACCATGAATAGGTCTATGTCTATCTTTTTTTTTTTTCTTTGTTGCTTTGTATTTCTGAAACATGGAATGCACTGGACATAATCACATTGGGCTCTAGTTGAATGTTAGATGCAGTTGTGTAGGCTTGCGAGCCTTTGCCAGTTCGTGCTCCAGAGTTACAATGCTGGAGGAAAGAAAGAAAGGAGGTGCATCTGAAGTCTGGAGAGCACAGAGTGTAGATGCTCTTCATCCCCTTCCAGGGCAGAGGAATATCAAGAAAGCAAGGAGTCATTCATATATTGCATCTGGGGCAAAAGTTAGTTCCAAATACCAACATGTTGAGAGTAAAGTCAAGAAATACATTGAGGAAATGAAAAGGACGGAGCCAACAAAGCAAAAGCAAGATGAGTATGGCCAGAGAGGTTTGTCTTCTGCAGTGGAAAGGAAACCCAGGAAATATGCTTTAGATGGGTACTCATTAGAAGAAGTGAAACAGATGTATGATCAACTTCATACTGATTATCAGGAACTATTGATGAAGCATGCTGCTGCTAAGGAATGCCTTGATGACCTTAAACTACGTTTCACTTTCATGCAATCATCTGATTATGAAACCTCATCAACTGTGACTCATTCAGAAGCTGCTTCAGTTCAGAGAGGTATACACTTCAGTCATCGATTTGGATGCTTCCTACCTTTAGGAACAAGCAGGTTCATGATGGATGCCTCCTTGTCAGAAGTGAGCTCTCTTCCCTTGTCTAGTGTGATTAACAAATGTATGCCTACCACCTACAACATAGGCTTCAAAGAACTGAAATCACTGAGTTTGTGATAGATAGCTCCTTACATCATTGCATGCATTATTGAAATAACATTCACATTATTAAATGTGGTAAAAATTCATGTGCTCACTCCATGGTACAGAACCTTAGAAATAATTGAACCACTCCACTTCTAATGTCTTGCTTGTTTTTTTTTTTTCAGGCTGATTTGCTACAGAACAGATTGGATGCCACATCATCCAAGTTCAAGATGGGAGCATCATCAAGTTCACTAAATTCAATACTTGTATCCCATGAGAAGGTAAAATTATTCTTCCGTGACATTCCTTCTTTTCTTTTAGTTTTAAATGCTGCATGATTCTCATGATCATTCATTCAGAAAATGAGGATTTTCACCTACTTTTCAGTTGAAATACAATATTCATGAGCAAAATAATCATAACTTTTTTTTACCTCAAATTGTAATACAAAGCTGCTCCAAAAAAGGAAACCCCTTGGGCATTATATCTTGTGCATTGAGATAGATGGAATGGGCCTGAATTTTCATTGAGTGTATGTTTTCCTCTTTCCTCAGGTTCAGCAATGGCAAATGCACCTCCAAAGGCTGCTAGAACAGAGTTTCTGTGCCACATCCACTCCAAAGAAGACTTGGGAAGGGGACAGTGGCCTGATGTGTTCAGATGGGGAATCTATCCATCGGTTGGAAAAGTCTTGTTCTCAAGAATCCTTACACCCTCTTGTTGGAGATGTAGACAAAGTATCTTCCTCTTCATGTCTGCTGGAGAAAGGGAACAGTGATGGGCAACAGCAATGTTTTGGAGTCCACTCTAGTCAAAAGAGAACCATTGAGGATGTCTGTGATATTGTGAAGCCAGAAGTTGGGAAACCATTGTGTTCAGTTCATACAGATCTGATTAAAAGTATTCACTGCAAAACCCAAGGGCAGAATGTCCCTAATGGAAGTTTCCCTAGGACTCCCTCTGAGAAGGGGAATAGTAACAATGCTCCTACTGCCAGTGCCATGGTTACAGACTCACAATCTTCACTCTCTCATGCTGATGCCTTTTGTACACACAATGTCCTGAATGGGATTCCTTGTGCATTTGCTTCTCCAGGAAAGGAAACTCAATGTATATGCACCTTTATGCAAGAAACAGATCATAAAAGGAAACAGGAACCAAGGACAGCAAAAGAAGCTCCTGATTCAACTGATAATGGAGTTGAGCATATTTCTAGGTATGGTATAACTTTGAAGTACATTCTCTCCCACAGACACTCCATCGCAAACTCCTAGATATTTAATCACTTCAATCCATCTTTTCTATTGATTCCAGAATTTTCAAGTTGGTCTGAAACATTTGATTAGTTTTAATATGTGTTCTCTTTCTTTGCTCCTGCAGTTGTGATGGGGAAATTTGTTCAAGATTTTTCCTTCCCATTGAATCATTAAAGAAATCAAGAAGGGGAAAAAGGAAGTGGCACACTAAGCAGGTGAGGATTGTTTCTTTTTGTGCCACTGCATTTATTTGTGAATGAATTCAAGGGGTAGTTCACTTTTTTTTACAACTTGAGCTCTGTGAGTCATAATTATTTAATGTCATTGCTAAAGGCTGTATTTATTGGTTCAACCATCCATTAAAGCAATATTGGGACAGCAAATGAAACTGATAATGCCATGTGGCCTCTTGGAGGAAAGGAGAAGAGATGTGTACTTCGTTCCAATAACTATAATAACTTCCCACTCCTTCATCTCCTTTCCTCCTGCCAACTTATCACACAACTCACCTCTTCTTTCCTCCAAGAGACTGTGTAATGTTATTAGTTTCATTTTGCTTTTCCTGTATGTCTGTAACTGATTGTCCTATTAATGCACAACTTTGGGAATGGATTTCATTCACTATGACTCACAGATTGAGCTCAACTTGTAAAAAGCGAACTCACTCTTTAATGCAACCTTTAAGCATGGGCTTAATACTGTTTCAAGGGGAAAATCCTCTCACCTCCTTTGATGCATCATTGCAATAAAATGCACTTTTCTATGAGGTGGAACAAATTCTTTTACAGATGTTGTGTTGCAAGTGTCACACCTATAGCCATATTCTTTGTTTTGCAAGCCCTTCCCATGAAAAATGGCACCCACTGATCTCCTTTGGATATGAACAGTCTGATTAAATTAGCACATCTCAGATTTTCACATAAATTGACTCCACTGATTTTCCCTTGCTTTTCCACTTTGCTTATATGCTTTCCAAAGCTCTTCATATACTGTGTAACAGGGTCTTCACTCAAGTTATACATTCTTTTAGTTATCTTTAACATCTGTGTTAGAAACCATTCATGGGTGTTGGAGACATTCAAAAAGCATTGAATATATAAATAGTGCAAATTTTATTCAATGATTAATGCACACTGATAAGTACTTTGCTTTGTGGTTTTTTATGTGTCAAATCCTTTTATGTTGTTGCCTCTGGAATGGGATCATAAAAAGTTGAAAACTTAGGAAAGGTTTTCATACTAAAGTTTCAATTAGTTTCAATACTAAAGTTTCACTAGAGTTTCAATTTTCTTTCATTTTTATGCATGATGAAACTTGTAATCTACTCTCATCCCTACTGTCTCACTTTGCTCACTGTCTGAGCAAACTGTCTGTCACTTTGTTCCCCTAGGGCAACATGCACAATAGAGTACTGGAGGAGCTCCGAGCATCATGTGAACTTGGTTCTGCCATTCGCCGTCATTCTGTGGATCTCCTGGAGTCTCTTCGGTGTTAGCCAGATCCCACAACATTATTTTGTGTCCCACGGGCTTGCACATCAGTGACCTAGAAGGAGTATTATATCCTAAGTTATTTATAATGCATTCCAATTTTCCTATTTTTGAGGACATCCTCATTGCCCTATGCACATTGTAATTTTTATCATATCTCATATTAGAATTTGTGATTAGAGCCTTACTTGAACTGTCTTTGATCCTTTGGCAGATGTAGAAGTCAAATGCATATGCTGAAAAACAATAGTAAAAAGTAGGTCTGTCAAATTGTGTAGATGTATTGATGTCTGTATCAATAATGGGATGCACAGATTTTAGTAGCCATCACAATATTCCACAGATATGTTGACTCCATCACCAGATTATGATGAACCTTCGTCAAGTTTGAGCCAGTTACCAAATTTTTATTTTTTATTGCACCAAATATGATTGCATCATCACAGATGCTACCATCACCAAAACTGCATGAGCCTACCCCAAACATATGCTTTCATCAAACTTATGAATTTTTCAGCAATTGCAACCATATCAAGTAATAGACTTTTCTTCACTTCTGGTTGGACCTGTGATAGAAATGATTGTAGGATTGTTTCATTGCAAGATTGATTGGAATTTTTGGGGAGGACCTCTGCAACTGGTCTCCTTGTGCCTGTGAACATGTACAGGCATTCAGTACAGTACTGTATTCCAGTTTCTGCTATGATGTGCATATTAAAATGCACATTAGTCTGGCTACTATTAACTTTGAGGTTGGAGGTGTAGAAAGGTGCCTTAGAGTATCTAACCAGCAAGCTTGGGCATTGGAATGACTTCAAGACAGGAGTCTCCCTCTGGGTTGTCGGAGCTCTGCAGTTGGAAGGCACATGCCCATTTTATGCTGACAGGCATTTACAAGCATTCAATCCACACCCAGGAGACTACAGTTCCATTGGATGCTGGATCTTTCCAATTGGTCAGAAAAGATAGAGAATAAGACTATCTCTGCCCTGTAGACTCACTAAATGACAAATCACTTTGGTTCGTTTGATATGTGAACTGTGGCAGTCTAGGTCCAGTCAATAAAGTTTGGTTATAGTTTAATAGCACCTAGTAAAAATACTGAGAGAGAATTTGAAGTTAGATTCATTAAGTCAGTCTGGTGGTGAAATGGTGAAATCATTTTGATGAAGGTAATATGAATTTGGTGATCTACATTAACCAAATGGCCAAATGATACATTCTGGCAGTGAACTATTACATCTTTTTGATGGAGTCAATATTATTTGGTGATGAATTAAGTGGTTACCTTTCAGTTATGCCAACCCCTTTCTCTTCTCGGGGAAAATGTGAGAGAGTGAGAGGGTAAGGCAGAAAGAGAGGATACCCACTACTTTATGTACACCCCACCTATGCTTTGGCCAAGGGCATGTGGCAGCAGAAACACTTAGTTCAAAACTATCTTTAGTTTTTATGGTACAGGTGCTACAATGACTAAACATTGGTTTTAGGAACAAGACTGAAAAATACCACAGTATTTCAGTTTAGCATAATACTACACTATCCAATCCAATTTCATACATGGCTACTGTCTGATATATCTCATCAAGTGCACATTTCTATCATGGTCATTGTAAGCCTGTTGTTTTAGTACCATTGGGAGTGGAACCTCTCAAAAGCAGAGAAGAACTGCTCTACCTTTCTGATGAGGTATTATGGATTTAAAAAAATATGTGAGCACTTGTTAACTGCATGATCTGAAGCCAAAAGTGGGAGGGAAAGTGAGAAAGAAGGAACTAAAGAAAATGTTAAACTCAGAAGACAGAAAAGAGCAAATACTCAATTTTTTAAAACCTATTTCCAAAGACATTCCAGTAAGAACTAAATGCTCTTGTTGCTCAGCATTATTGAGTTGAAGTTCATGTAAAAAGTATTTAACCCATTCACATCAGCAAATGTACTTGTACATGCTTGCACTCTGGGTTTTTTCCCAGCTGTTTCTTCTAGTTGTAAGGCACAAATATGTTATCAAATGATATGAAATATATTTGAATAGCCCTAGTTATTCTTGAAATGTAGTAACTTTTGTGTTTCAGTATGAACTTTGCTTTGCTAATCTTTCAGGATTTAACCATTTCCACTCCTTTGCTGAGCTGGGATCGCCATCAGTTGTAATGTTGCAGGGAAAAAAACAAGTGAAAAGGGTTAAAGGGCTGTTAAGGGGAAAAATCACTTGATGTGAATGGGTTAAATACTCTTTCTTTGGACATTTTATTTGATGAAAGTTCTCTTGGGACATTCATTTTTCTCATTCTTCCTTTCTTTCCAATTGAGTTCAACCTCAAGAAACAGCATTTCGGTTATTCTTTGTCTTGCTTTCATCTTCATGGTTATGCTTTATCAACTTTTACCCCAAGTTCTTTTCTGGAGTTGCATGGTGATATTGGTTGGCTATTTTCTCAGCATGTTATACACATCTGTTATCCTTTTGTTTCTATCAGAATCCATTTGAACAAGCAGTTTCAATTAGTCACTGTTGTCAACTAAAGCATAGAGTTTATTAATGAACAGGGGTAGTTCATTTCAGTCTCAGAATCATCAATTTGCATTGGTATGCTTTTGCCTGCAGACTGGGTTATTGTGATTAATTACTTACAGACACTTTTGCTTTCAGGTTTACTTACATTTTGCTGATCATTTCAACAGAGAAAATAAGATTTTATTTCTCCATTCAAGTGATGAAATAGCCTTTGAATCCATTCTATCTGCAATTATTTAGAACTGAAAATATAGAAGAAGGTGTGTATTTCTAAATGCCACAGGAGTACTGTATCTCTGACTACAGAACAGAGTTCACTGTGTGTACACCAGGAAGAGCTGTTTTGCTAGACAGCAGTGATATATGCAGTAATTGCTGCACCTGCTTATGTGCATTCCTGTCTGTAAGACTTTCCAAGTATTGAAATGCTATAATAATATATATTTTTGAATTTGTGATTCCTTTTGACATTGGAATTTATTTTGCTTGGAAACTTTTGTTCCAAGCTGTGTATCATTTCACTTCTCTTGATAAAAAATCTTTAGAAATATTGTAGGTACAACATAGCTTTTTACATCTCTGTGATCTATTGGAGTGACTAGTTGTCACATTTTCTACCAGAAATCCCCATTTGATTCATAATTCATTCAGGAAGGAAGATGCCAAAAAATGCCACATCTTAATGAAAATGGCATAATTTGATCTAGTCCTAGTGATACTTTTGGATGACACATGTGAGGAATGCTTTTGCCTGTGCTGGGAATTTTTTTGTAAGGTGGTATGAGTTGTACTGGATAAGGAAGAGGAGCTGAAGAAATGCTTTTTTTTTTCATTTGACACCAATTTTTGTAAATAAATATGAATGAAAGCATTTGATTCACACTGGTACTATTTTGCTTGTCCCTTTTCAGCAATTATTATAAAATCTGGCATGCTGAATTCTCATGAACTTAAAGGCACTATAGTAGTGGAAACACAACACCAGTTTCAAGCCTAGCTCTGATTCAAGTTCAAGAGGGTTTGTAATGAGCTACTTGCTCATCGGTTTGGCTTTTGAATCTGTGGCGCTGCTACCAAGCATAGACCACCAATGTCTGGTGAAGGTTGTGAGAGATATCCGAATGTGACATAACACCAACATCCTTTTGAGTGATTTCATATCGCACCTCAAGAATTAGAAAGGTTAAAGAACTAGCTTACCTAATTGCAATTACAAGCCGCGTTTCTGCGTGCATTCAGTGGCGTAGGCAGGAAATTGGCAAGGGAGGGTGGGGGGAGTTGAGGCCAGGTAGACACCCCCAACCCTACGCCTAACTCCACTACCCGGAAATTACCTTTTCAAAGAAATCATGGTCTGGCATCTTGGGTCTGTGGACGGACCTCAGACTTTCCTCGAAGGGGCATTGCTAAAATAGGAATTCCCAAGGAAGGTTGAAATATGCCTGTCAGTGTCACTGACCGGGAAGCCCAGGGGGGGGGGGGGTTCTAACCCCCTAAACCCCCCCTTCCCTACGCCACTGCGTGCATTGGTTGATAACACAAAATGTGTGAAATATTAGAAATAAGAGGAGGGACATCATGTTACTGTATTTCTTTTCCGTTGTTCTTTATATTTCGCAGCGCAGGAAATATTTTTTTTCTACAAGAGAATTAATAAAACTGACTCGGAAGAAAAATTTGTGTTCGGAGAAAAATACGACCTCCACACTAGTATAGAAATGTATGAAAATAGATGCAGCTGCAGAAGTTTCTCCTGGCAAGTCCCACGATACCGTAAAAGCCCCTGCAATATCGGCCCAAGGCAGAGGGTACTCGCCGAGACGAACCCGTGACCAATATGGCGGGACGTAGGAATGGGCCAAACAAAGCTTTCACCGAATTGCCGCCTGTGTGAGTATCGCGGTACTGAATGCTCGTAGTCGTTTTCCGGGCAGAACTAAATCCTGGATTTTATATGGGAAAATCACAGACATTTATATCGGAACATAAAACACGAGAAGCTACCTTATAAGAAGGCAGACTTTTTGGGCTCCACGAAATGGAAGGAGTTAGGTCCACTTCCATTTCCAACGCCGATGATGATCCATGGAACATCATAGAATTTAGCGAAGTTTTCAAGAGAGGAAAGTTTTTAACCGAGAAAAATCCAGGTTTGTGCCCTGCAGTCCAGATGAAGAGACACGAAATGTTTATTACGACCTTGGGTAAGCGCCTCGATCTGGACAAGACCCAGTTCGCCTGAGACTTAATTGCTGAGGTGAGACAGAAGAACGATGTGATTACTCCTCAGAAGTTTTGTCTGAAAAAAGAAATGACAAGGTGACCTCTTGGAGTTTGCCAATAGTCAAAGCCCTAAAATAAAAAGTTATTCTTCCAAAAAAGACACGAAGAAGTTGGACCTGGAGGAGTCCCAACGGAGAGGTGAAGAACGAAATAGTTTTTATTCTTACCTACAGGATGGACACGTGCCAAGGTGGAAGGGTTTCGAGCCAGGTGGATACGGGTAGCGACCACTTCATGGTACGATGCCAAGGGAATTTCAACACCTGACTCAAAAGAAAGAAGTTTACAATGAATCCTGTCTCTCTCTCGCTCTGCCTTCTCTGAGAGATAAGATC